CGGATGCACAAAATTTTTTATTGGCACAGGGGAATCGACAGAGAATATTGAATTTTTCATTTAAGAGATAATAAATGATATCGATTCTATTTTTCACAAAAGCAAGTGATATTCTCAAATTTGGGATTCTACAACAAAGATTGGAAGGCTCTGCTTAGGGATGACTGAACCAACTTTCCCAACATGTTTATTCCACATAATTTACGTTGTTGGTTGCCTGAAGCATGATGAATCATTCATTATTAAGAAAAGATAGCGCTCATGAATGAGAGAATGAGTGTGTAGAAAATTGTGCTAATAAATAAAAAATATTGTCGAACTCGATCGGTGTCAAATGTCACGCAATGAAAAAGTTTAAACTCAAAAATAATTACAATAAAGGAAATTGCAGTGCAAGGAAATGAACGAATAAACAAATGGTGATACTAAAAGTTTCTCAGTAAGGATATTGAAACTGAGACTGATTCCGTGATTGAAAATTGTCTTGCGAAAATTTCCGAAATTATTAGTTCTTAACATAAAACATGTCATTAAACAACACTAGTGAGCGAATTCCAAGTTTTTATTTTCCGTGTGATATCTGTATATAATAAAAATAATAAGCAAGGAGGGAAAAGTTGTTATTGCTTTCAGCGATTAAGTTTCCCGTGTCTTAAATGAACAGCACTTTTCCTATTTTACTTTCAGCTCTTTTTCATGGTATCTCAGCAAATATTTCTTGAGCAATTCATATAATATTAAACAATACATCGCAACTATACTTTATTTGCAAGCGCTTTAAAAGTTATGTATCCATTCAACTATGCTTCGCTGTTCGTTTGATTAGCTATCAAATATCATTGCTGTAAATGGTAATAATTTTGACAGCGGAAATTATTAGAATTATCGAAAATTAGATTCACTACAATTTGGTAGGTTATTTTTATCTCTTGGAGTTAAATAACTAACTTGTTTTATCATTACTTAATAAGTAATGGATGAATGGAAGAATAAATGCATGCATACATCATAACTGCTCGCGTTTCCCTTGATTTTCGGTTATGTCATTAATAATTTCATTCAAATATTTAAAACAATAGATGAGTTATTCACTGATAAGACATATTTTGTATACTTTCAGAGATAGTACATTTGAACGACTACTTCCTGTAGATATCTCGACAAGTCTCATGGGTACTATTTATTAGTAATAGCAAGCTGTTGAGTATTGTGCAACAACACCTGTTCTACCTGACCGCTGCAAACAGTCTCCAGAAGTTACGTCAGCAACTCTTTAGAGAATTAACAAACACTTTCCATGTATGTGTACGTAATTGCCCTGAAACCATCAAAAGCGAATTGAAGGCACAATATCCAATCTTTTCCCATTTTTAAAATCAATACTTCATCTAGAAGCCTTAGATAGATCACTGCAATTTCTCGCAATTTTTTCAGAAGATTACTGATCTTTGTAATATCTGTAATGGACAAAAAATATTGCAATGAAACTATTGGCAGCTCAAGTCTCTGAGTTGAATTTCCACAATTTTATCTACTGAAAACTGTGCGATTTCGAGAAAAATGTCTCATTTTTAAATAAAAATATGATTTCTCAACATTACTTTCTAGAGGTACGTTTTTTAATCACGGCAGTTAGTTTGATCAGATTATTTAAAGCAAAAAAAAAGTGAATTTTTTTGAACAACTGTCACTGTTAACATTCACTGCAAAATGTATTAAATGTATCAGCTGGCTGGCAGTTTGTTCAATCTGACTGACCGCTTCTACGCGATTAGTTCTGCTTTATTCATTCTTATTTTATACTCACTTTTGAGCGAAATTTCAAGTACTCTCTTGTATCAAACTAACTTTTTCATCAGAAAAACCAAATGAGTTTCAAGAAACTTAAAGGATTGCACAGAATGCTTGCTGAAAGCGACTATCTACGTTTTTCATTTGATTACTTTGACATCTTTGTACTCATTTAACTTAAGCGATCATCGATCAATTTTTAAGACAGTATTCACGTCACTATTTGCTTTAAATTTATTACAGATTGAAAAAATGGGCAGCTTTGGGAAATAAAAAATGGGCAGTTTTGGGAAATAATAGCAAAAGCCAATTTACAAAGTGTGCAAATAATACATGAAGGAAATATATATGAGAGTGAGTGAACGAGTGGTTAATACTTAATGAAAGTCAAAATTTGCATTGATGCCTTTATGCAATCCAATTTTGGGGCAAGAAAAAGCCTATTACTTCTTGCCTTTTTTGGCTCAAATAACAGCAAAATAGCACTGCGATTACCATATGTGTAATCCCTACTTTGGTCCACTTAACTTTGGCAAATAAAACAAATGTATGTTAACATAATTTTTCGTTTTGCTAGTAAAGAAGAGGCACATCTCGTGACTCAGTTGACTTTGTTTACTTGAAACATTTGGATAGTCAGTGATTTTCTGGAAATCGCACAATTTCTGGTCGGTAAATTGTGGAAAGTCCAAATCAGAGACTTGGACTGCTAAAAGGTTTATTGCCATCAATGCATACCTATTTTTGCCGTATTATTGTGCGGTGAAATGAAATGAATCTTAAAAACTGATAATAAATCTGTTTATTCAAAAAACATAAGTGCAAGTATAAATGAGACATATGAAATGAATGAGAATGGTTGTCATCTGCTTGCTGCAAAATTAATTTTAATCTGGCAGATGTTTTTGATCTAATCCAGAGGCCTAAATGCTTTCCTTTTCAAATTTGAAATTTCTAGAATTCCTGCACACATTCTGTCTAAAAATGAAGTAAACGAAACAGTTGAAATAATATAAATTTCTTATTGACTTTATAATTTATTACAAATATTTGCAAGACTGTGTAATGCTCTCTCATTAAAACTATCAAAAATCCTAATGATAAAACCAGATCCCTAAGAGAAGGTTGAAAGACAAGTTTTGAATCGCTTTTTTTTGTGCATCTTCCGTTTGCACTCAGAAATTCTCAGTCATGCAATTTTAAAAAAAAATCAAATTTAGTAAATTTTGATCTGTGACGTAACAAAAGAAACAATTTTTATTCTTACTTCCACTGTAGCCAATAAATAATTGGTTCAAAAAATAAAAAAGACTTCTAAGTGAGAGATAACTGAAACGTATGCTTTCAATAACAATTAATTTTGTTTCAAAAATATTTGTGTGAGTGAAATTTCCGATGCAGTTTGGAATACTGCTAATGACAAATGAGTAGAGGTCGAATTGTAGCACTGATTCACTGCACTGCATGCTCAATTAGCAAGTGAACAATTTTTAATGGTAAAAGCAGAAAATATCGCTGTCAAATGAAACAGACGTATGTACATCAGTGCTCATTTTTTATTTTTTTGCAGTCATTTGAAATGGAAACGCCTCCATTCATCACAACCATCATAAAATTGCAATTGAAAGCATTAATTCAGTTTTACGTCTGACCACTTGCAAAAAAGCTGCTCTTTATCTTTTTGTCTTCTGACCTATCGCAATTGATCACATGGCATTCATTTAACGTTAGCAAATGGATAGTTCTGTACTATGATGAACGGAGATTTACATACAGTTGATGGATGTGTAAACAATTACGAGGCAACTACGCCAGTTGAATATTACGTCCAAATCTTCTCGAATGATTGCAATCAGTGACTCAATATGCAAGGAAAGATTAAGCTATGACTTGATTAATTTTTACTAATCCGTTTATCCGTCAAATGGAATCGATTAACTCTAGTGTTGTACACACTGATTGAAAATTCGAGCAATAAAATCATATCGATTTATGCAAAGTATATAGTCAGTTCTCGGTCCTACTTAGTGTAGCATGCTACATTAAGTTTCGATGAATGAAAATTTACAAGTACATTTATAGGAACAGAAACTTTATTGTGCGGATTTTGTTTGTTATAGCAATTACATCTACCTAACTTTCATTCTACTAACAACGAAACAGCTGCACAGAACACGTTACGTTTATTGCTAAAATGCATTCACTATGAGAACAAAATAGTGAAATTGAATTTTCCGATATTTAATACAAAAGTGCTGAATGATCATTTTGTTATCCAGTGGCAACAAACTGAAGAGCGAAATCTAAACTGAAATTGAAAATTGACTTGGCCTTCTAAAACTTTTGAAATTATTACGAAAAGAATAAGTATCCGTTCAGTGTTTGTTTATTTTCTCAAAAGTTGAGAGGCTGAAGTGGCTCATCAGTTGTTGCTGTGATCATTAGAATGATCTCTCATTTTCGATAAATCCTCCATAAGCTAGGCTTTATCTTTTCATTACTACTAAAAAATTAATAATTTTTCATAATTCTCTTTGTTTCTTCATTGCACGAATGGAATAGAAATGCTATCACAAATTTCATTAAATTTTTTTAAAATTTTAATGCTTGGTCATAAATTTTTAAAATAAAACCTTAAGTTTTCGGCTATTATTTTTGTTTGTGTTTCAAAGCTAAAATAGAGAATCGCATTCTTTTTGAAGCTAATATTTGGTCTGAAGAAAAATATAAATTATTGTTGATTTATTAATTAAGAAGAGCAATGAGCACCTTTCACATTTCAATACTGTTTTAAATTCAGTCATATTTTTTAATCATGACTTAAAAACTGCAATTTGAAACTAAGTTGCTAAAAATAAAATTTCTCATTTTGAAGCATTGACTTTTCAGGCATCGCAAATTTGCACCTTCAGAAAATAGCAGCAGTTTTACTTCAGAATCATATACTGCAACATTTTTTAGGAGCTAAGCTTCTCTCTTTCTTTTGCTCAATTATTTTCAAGTAAGTAATGTTTACCATACTTTTTATTTGCAGGCAATCTTGAATCATAACTGTTGTAACATTATTGCAGTGTACTTTCTGAAAGCACTGACTCAGCTTTGATTACATGAAGACATTTGACGTTAGCATAAATTCTAGAATAAAAAGACGTTCCTTGCTCCGCCAACGGTTGAAAAAAAGTACATTTGATTGAACTGGCTTCAGGAAAATGAACGGAGACAAAAAATATGGTAGTATTTTGCAACGAACTTGCCACTTTGAGCAGCCATTTGCATATATTTGTTTGAACAATCAGTTACATCAATACTGCTCATATTGCTTAAGGAAACCTGACAGCAAAAAGTTGTATAAATGTTCGAAATGTGAATTGTCTCGTTACTGTAATAAAGTAATTTGCCTTCTTGTCTTCGTCTTTTACTAATGGCTTCCTTATCAAATGACTAAAATAATATTCATGTACTATGAGAATAAGTTTCTTTACGCAAATTAAATTGCTCAATGAAATTCAATATTAATGAGATCTATATTCAGAATATTTTAAGTTTTTTAAGCTTTGATAATTAAATTAACTCTCAAAGTTTGAAAATTTTTTATTTGATTTTTATGAAGGAGAAAATACAAAACTAATCACAAATACAAGTTATGATTCGATTCATTTCAAACCAAAAAAGACAACTTTTAGGAATGTCAGAGGTCAGCTTGGAAAGATCACAAAGCTGAATGTCGACGACTGCAGGCAGTTTATCCAAATTTACCGCTTTCTGAGGTTTTGTTTCTCAGTCGAATTATCGACAAAGTGTTATTTCTTGAGGAAAATGGTGATAAATTTGGCTGGCAAAAATGCAGAGAATGGAAGGCTTTGATGGGTCACGAGGATGATATCCGGAGTGACGAGGTTACTAACTGATTGGCATGATTCAAAATCACTTAATCCTAATCTGTGAACTTGAAATGAACAAATAAATCATTTTCTAGCAACAATAAAGTTCATCATTGCAATAAATAAGAGGTAGAATAGAAGAAGATTCAAGAATATTTATGCATATTTTCAGCTCAAGTATGCTCATTTTGAGAAAATTTACGGCAAAATGGCATTGTATCGAAAAGAAGAAATGATTAGTAAAGAAAAGTTTTATCAAATCTTTTGCAAAACAACGATTAACTCCCATGCGATTCACACTAGCATCGGATGGGAAACTGGCATAGCGCTCGATCTAGGTATATTTTACCAATTAGTTCAGATTGATTTCAGATTAACTATGTATTATGCCCTGTTCTAACATATCAAAGTCAAATTTATAAAACATAAGTGAGAGCTGTACTGATTTTGCCATATCACAGAAACAAAGTTCAGTTTTTCAAGAGTCTCTTTCTAACGCTGTGATGAATTCGATCATTTCCAATCATCACTATCACAAAAAAATCTTGATAAGAGATTTTTTTGGAATTATTAGTTCATGAAAAAATGCAGGTTACTTTTTCAATGATTAATTACTTTTATTTTAAAAAGATAACAAAGTTACTGGAATAACTGTTAATTGAAATAATAGAGACTAAAAGTTAATTACTGAAACAAATAGACATTCCGTTACAAATTAAGATAAATTTCTGCAGTTATTTCGTATTCGGTGAATTAGTGATTACTTACTGAAAAATTATCATTACTACTATCGCAACTCTTGCCTACGACCTAAATATATCTTCAACTTGTAGCACAAGTTTTGCATCTCCGAGAAAAATAAATTTCAAAAAGATATGCAAATTTTCAACTGAAATCTACCAAATATTTTCTCATAAAAACATGCAATGAAGTGCAGCAAAATAATTTTTTCAGGTGTTTCAAAATATGATCATTCCTGTCGTCCTAATTGTTCACTAGTATTTGACGGATTCTATGCTTGCTTACGATCTTTGACACCCGAAATAAATGCTTCTGATCCATCCAAGGCACATATCAGTTACATCGACGTGGGTCGTTCCCGTTATCATCGTCAAAAAGAGCTTAAAGAGAAATGGTAACTTCTGAAACTTCAAAAAGAAATTTATACCATAGCGAAAATATTTGAGTTTAAACAAAATAAAATTAGTGAAAGCTAAAAGTTGTAAAGAGATGTTTTTGCCGCACTGGATTAATTGATATTTGGATCAAAATAAGTAGAAGTAGTTTGTAAACAAGAAATCATTAGCATAAAGATGAATGGAAACAATCTAAAGCATAGGTTTTAGGTATTTTGATTGTCGTTGCGAACGTTGTACAGATCCAATGGACGACGTGCTAACGTCTATCTGTTGTACAAACAAAAATTGTGATGAACCACTGCTAATAACAGAAAATTCAGAAATATCAGATATTTTATGCCCTAAGTGTGAACACATTACTCCTGAAAATCATGTGAAAATGTGTCAGGAGTTAATGCTTAGTCTTCCCGTACAGTTCTTAACAGAAACAGATCCCAACGAAGTAACTTTATTTTGATTATATTCTCTATTTAATAGACTTTTTTTCTTTCAAGCATTCAAATTCAAAGTATTTATCTTTGTTTCCAACAAATTCAAGCTAATCTGAAAGAAACATTACAGATCCAACTCAAGCTTAATGAAGCACTTAGATATTTGCACCCCAAAAATGTTTACGTGACACGGTTGAGAGCTGCGCTCTTGCATTTTAATGGATCTGTTCAAGATAATTTGCTATTTGTCCAAAAAAGCGTATATGAAAATTATAGACTGTATGGTTTCAGATTTTTATGCACTCTTATCATAAATATTTCATCTGACTTATATTTCTACACTATAAGTATACTTATTTAGTCACTTATTTGTTTAATTATCTATTCATCTACAGATTAGTATTTAATTATTTCAATGACTACACAGGCATCAGTGATAAGCAAATTTGGTCTTTGTAGCTATAATTAATATAGATGTACTTGCATTCGCTAACTGACAAAATTATAGCAGTGTTGATCAAGTTAAATTTTGCAAGATTCATCATTTTATCTATGTTTCACTGTTACCACTGTGATTTATGACAATTTGTAGTCTCAACAATTGAATTATTTTTCAAAACCTTCCCTTCTCATTAACTAGAAGAGATGTGATTTAAGATGCTTCCCACGCTCCGATAGACATGTAGCTTTTCAACTACTACATATCGTCAAATCATACATCGAGAAAGGCGAACGCCAAGAAGCAAGTTTACCTTCCTTTATTGTTACTCAAACTGTTCTTTACACGTTTACATTAGACGTCTCATTTACAATATCTCCATGATTACTTAACTAATTAATTATTTCTTCTGCACGTGCACAAGTAATAATTTAATATTTTAATTACTTTTAAGGTTACTGGCGGAATTTCAGGCAGTGTCATATGCATATGATGCGATGTGTATATTTGAAGTATGTTTCGGTCTAAATCATCCATATTACTTGCAAACCCTTGCACTCTGGACATTTTTGGATCAGAGTATCCCCAAGAGTGACCAAGAATTGTTTGCTCTCATGAATTTCCAGTTCAGTAAACCCATTGATTTGACCCCTTTTCTGCTTAAGAAATTGAACAAGTAAATAGATGCGGATCATTAAAGACCGTCTAGATCAAAGGTTAAAATCTTCCCACATAAAGGTCAAAAATATCAAACATTATATAAGATAAAATCAGTAGTGGATGTTTGTGCTGAACGGTTTTTGAAAAAATTGCTCAGTTAATGCTAGTTATCCATGTTTAATTGTTAGATTATCAGGTGGTGTGAAAATAATAATACTTTATTGACTGATACCGTCATTTTCTTATGATTTTTCGATGTTATCTTTACTTTTCCTAATACTCATACGTTGAAGTTACGTGGACGTTGAAGTTAGCGATAAAAAATTATCAAATTTGAATTCAGTGCAATAAGTTAAAATCAAAGTAGAGCAGTTGAAAATCTTTTCACAAAACAAGCTAAATGTTGCAGATTTTCATACTTTTGAAATGAGTGAATAAACTGAAGTCTGTTGATCTTTCATAGTAGTTTGTCCTCTCATTAAAATTGGTTATTAAAATGATTTTTTAAATCACATATATTTAGGATATATCTACCCATATCCATCCATTGTGAGGTTTCAATTCAGCACCTCAAATATTTTATTCTCAAGTAAAAACCATCAAGCAGTCTTTTATTCATCCTTGAAATTTATTGACTATATAATGTACTTGACATCTGCTTTTTGAAAACAAGCATGTGAATTTTTATTCATCTGTTTCTATTCTGAAATAAATATATATCTGTCTGAGTTCGATAATTTTAATTAAAAAAGTTCAGGCGTAAACATTAGTTATTATTAATTTTATAGATGGTTGCATTCAGCTGCTGATCCACGATTAATAATGCATTGTCCTCGGGAACTAGAGCGATACTTAGATGTGCAATGCTTTTTTCCATTAATCTTTTCGAGGATTCAAGTTCAGTTACGAAAATTCGCGTATAATTACTGAAAATTAAGAAATTTGTTTTTGTAACAACGACATTTTGCACTGGATCTTCTAAAATACGAACCGTTGCACCATTTCTTGATATTATCAACCCCTGAAATGATCTCCAAACTGAATGTTTATTTTAATTAAAAATTTCCATATGAATCAAACAGTTAAGAAAAGGCATGATAAGTTAATACTGATTTTGTTTTATAAGGCATTTCGCACTATTTCAATTTAAAATTCAAAATAAAGGAAAATTTCTTAATTCCTAACATATCTTAAAACAATTACTCATGATAGAAATCAATATTAGCACAAGCAGTTTGTTCATCGCTGCGATAACAGAGTTCAGAAGGACGTATGAGAAGTTGCAGCAATTAGCTTAGTAATATGTACATGCAGTTATAACTGTAAAATCTAAGGCTGAAAGAAGAAAAAAGGAAAATATTTGAAAAGTGGATAGGGAAATCACTTACTTGACCAAAAGACGTGATAATTAGCAAATGATTTGAGACGTACGCTAACATTTCGATGCAGTCAATCTCGTAATGAAATAACGAAAGTGTCAAGTCAGGAAGTGTAACACTCCAGATAGCACCCAATTCGTTACCAACGAATAATTTGTCTTTGACGAGACATAATGAAGTCAAACCTAATTATTGCAAAGTTCTGAGCATTTATAGCATACTTGTATATTTGCTAGATAATTAACTGAATATCAGGTAATGAAATATCAGTTTAAATTTGAAAAATATAGAATGAAATTCTTCCCCACGCAAGTATTACTTGAACATATTCTCCCCATTTCACAAGCAGTTTCTGTTTTTGGATGAAATGCTGACATCAGTTCTTAGAAAACATGTAAGAAAGTAGTAAATTTCAAATAAAAATGATTGATTTTGAGTATAAATTGCCTTTAATAACAATGATATTTTGTTTTAAAATATCGTCATGTAGAAAAATGCTCAACTTCTTCACCAGTATATCTTGTAGATGAGTTTGATCGTTTGATATTTCTTGGAAGATCCGAAATCGTTACTAATCTAAAGTGCTTCTCTTCTAGTGACGTAGATTTCAAACTATGAATAATGATTTTGCCATCTAACGATACAGAAACAAGCTGTGGACGTAATGAAGGAAGCCACTCTAAAGATGTCACAGTCAACGTATGAGCCTGAAATCCTTAGAGGAGTAGAAAGGAAACCTTTAAATTTGCACATTTCAGAACTTCTGCAATTTGCATACTTTTTTCAAGTTTTTGCATATTTAAGTATTTATTCAGTTTAGAGATTAAAATTTAAGATGTACGATAATTTGAAATAAGCAAATAACAAAAGATGCCAAATATATGTCGATAAAACTATCAGATGCACACTCAAAATTGTAATTATCGCTAGAAAAGGCATATTTTCGCAAAGTTAATAAAAATAGTGATTTTTTGATAAATAGAAAGTGGAAGAGGCAAAAATGCATAGCTAACAGAACCAGAAAATTACTTCTTTTGTTGACAAGCATTCTCCATTTAGTGCTATCAAAATATGACCTGTTACCAAACCTATCGCTACGAGGCCTTGAGGACCATACCTGGAACTTCACTTCTGCTTAAATCTTTGTTTGAATAGAGTGTTTTTTGTTTTTACATGTATTGCAAAATAATGAATAATTATTACATTACGAAAATATATTGATAAATATCGTAGTAATTTTTATCTCACCTGAGTATTGTTGGACAAGTAGACAGTACCATGCGGTCAATGAAACGTCTCTGCCAAAATACAACAACTCCGTTGTGTGGACACCAGGTTTCATGATAATGATGACCAAACAAAAATGCTGTACGTCCATTTGGACCACACACAGCACTATGCAAGGGTAAATCTTCTTTCTGGAACTTTGGAAAATTTTTTAAGTGAAAAGGGGAGAACAGAAAAGTATTTTTTTTACAAGGAACTTCTTACGGGCAAGTAATCAACAAGTTAACCAATATTAAAAAAGTGAGTACCAAAAAACAATTTTAGCTAGTAAATTAAAGAATAATTACAACAAATTAAAGAACAATTACAAAAAATGCGTGGTCTTTGGAAAAAAGATTTTCATGGATTATATTCATTTTTATTCAAACTACCTGTGGTACTTGAAACTGCGTGATAACAGATAAAGTTACAAAATCGGTACGATGCAAAATATCCAGTCGTGCTAGAACATTTTGCTCTTCAATATTTGCCTTCAAAGCAGTCAATACCAAGTTTATCACGTCTTCACTGATTTTAACATCAGTTATTGTACTCTGAACGGTTGGCATATGATCAGTTTGCACCCCATGATTGATGCAGTGCTGTGTGGTGGTACCTCAAGTAAACTCTTGGTTTCGATGTTGTCAAAACTGACTTAATATCAAACATTCGCTTGCTAAATCTATTTTGTCTGCTTTAGTTGTTTAAGAATTGTAACCTAAACCAAGTTTTTTTCCAATGTTTCAAAATTTCACATGTATTTTGAGTAAGAATTGCAGTAAAAATAATTGTTAATAAATGAAATGACCTAAAATTGATTAAAATTTCTCATATTTATCAGTTTTTTGGCGAGTGCAAATACGGATTCCTAAAAACAGATGCGCTTATTTAATGACACTTTCCACTTAATGAATACAACTAAAGATTCTTTACATTAAAATGCTAGAGCTGTGCAAATCTCTATAAATATTTGACAAATCTCTATGAATATTTTGCCAATAAAAAAAATTCAATAACGAAAATTCATTAAAACAGCTGAAAAGTGGTACTTTGATCGCATAATTTTCGAGGTTCAGTTAATACGGAAGAATCCACTTTTTGTACGCTTACTTTACAACTTGGAGGAATATACGTCATTGGTCCGTCGCAATCGTCCATCGGCAATCCAGTAATGATGGTAAATGAAAGTTTTGACAGCAGTTAATAGTAAATTATCAAAGCCTAGTATGGAAATCAAGTAGATTTTGGTAACAATCGACGGACTAGCCAAAACGCACTAAATGGTAAGAATTTTACTAAGGCAATAAATTAGTACGCCGTAAGTTTAATAAACTATTGCATTGGAGTGCTCAAGCTTGAGCCAGAAGATTTTGAAGCAATAATCGACTAGTCCTTTGAAGTAAATAATCGACCAATTACAAAATCAGTTAATTATTAAATTAAGCCATAGAAAAGAGTGACAACTGCGGAGTAATTTGTGTGATCAAAGTGCCCCGAAATATTTAATTTTATTTCAATGAAAATGCTGAACGAAAAAGTTAGAATAGCTGCTATCAATTCGATAACAAAATGGTTGCTTAGTAACTAATAATTTTTCAAAACGATTACTTAGACTGACTCACTCAGTACTTGCTTAGAATATGTGATTCACAGCATATCATTCCTTTATTTTATGCCAAATTCTTTGCATAATTATAATCACTAATTACTTTGGTCTACCTACCATTAAAAAAAATGCTACAGTTCTTAGCATGCAAGAAATAATTATTGAAAAACGAGTTTGTTTTGAGATAGTGAGTGACTGGAAGATACTGCAGTCAATTTTACATTGAAAATCATGGAGTACTGTACTCCTTAGCCATCTTATACTTACATAATAAATGAGTTAAAATTTCTGAAATGGATTAATAAGTTTACTAATTTAAGTTTCGAATTAAAAGCAGAGAAAACTTCCAGAACGTAAGCATCAAAAATCTTAACTGATCTTCAAATTTAACTTAAACTGTTTATTCTTTCAATATTTTAATATTGAAAAACCTCTTGCTGTTCTTAAACTGTCTTTTTTTTACTTTTGTTTATTTTTCATTATTCCATCCTTGAACACTGCAAGCCATTTCCTTCCACTCCTTCAGTTCATTTAGCAAAAGCTGAGCCGCAACGAGCATTTTCACATCTGTTGCAACTAGCGAGTTTCAAGGTAGCACGCTATTGATGCTTTCACCGAACAATTCATCTGATTCCAGCTCACAATCACTGCTAATAGTCACGCAGATGATAATGAATTTGCAAGTTATATGCAAAACTGCTATGAACCAACTTATTTCACATCGTTCCTCTTGAATTTCATTTCGAGAATTATTCTAATTGGTCTACTTGTTTGGTAGTAAAGTTACGCACAATGGATTGCTGAGATTCCGTGAGAAGGGAAGGCGCAGTGCTATATACGATGTCAAGTGTTCAATATTCGGTAACGTTCAGATGAAGCAGGGGAAGTAAAATAAGAATGTTACAGCAAATTATCATTTGCTTACGACTGTTTCGTAAAGGAGAGACGTAGGAGAAAAAGGATTGGGAGAGTAAAGAGTGGGGGAGTGGTGTTGTGTCGCGACCTTTGCCCTGAAATATGCATTGTGACGATGCTGATAGATTTTCTTGATTAGGGTCATAGTGCCAAGTTTAGCGATGGGTCAGTAAGGCAGGCTTGTATGCTTAGGGGAAATTATTTTTCATCATTTTTTAGTGTATGTTATTTTTCGATGGAGAAGAAAGCTGATTAAATTATGTTCAGGTGTAGTAAGTATAAAATTGTTCTTAAAATATGTTAGTGGTACTTCAGAATTGGTCATGGAATATTTTTGTGACGTGGCATTAATACGAGATATTATGTTTTAAAATATTATGTTTAATAAATTTCAAAAATGTCCTCTAAGTTCAACTAGTGTCTGCACTACTTTTAGAAGCCATTGAAAAAAAATAACAGTATAGATTGTTTTTAGTTCGATATTTTTTATGTCTCGTTTTTTAAAATTTGCAACAGTTTTTTGTACTTGGAGGTTTCTTATAAGTAAAAAAGAAAATTCTTCATAAGTTAGAGTTGAAAAAGTTTTGAGATGGAAAATGTGCACTATAAGCTCAGAGCTGTATAAAATAATTATGAAAGGGTTTATTAAGTGAACGCCATTTGACGTGAAAACTGTTGAAATGAAGTCGTGACCCTATGTCGACCACTGAAGTCATTTTGAATCCTATATCTCTATATTTGCCACTTTTTTGTGAGAAGTTAAGTGTTTCTATCATTTTTTTTTCGTTTTTCATCTAATTTCAGCTGCTGAGAAAGTTTTACTTTTGAATCATGCAATAATATTTTCTCAGAATCTCAATGAAGTTGGCAGTTAGCGATAAAAAAAGATATCTTTGGGCAAGGAGGAAGCACATAGGTGTTTTCTTGGCTATACAGGGATCTTTCATGGTGATAAGATTACGAGCCAGTGGGATGTATCATGCTCAAATATCTAGAATGCACGATATGTTCAACCTACAACTACTCATGTGTATAGTTTCAACTATTATTTATCAAAGAATTAAAGAGTAAGTAATTCTTCCCTCGCTTTATTCAACTCCTTATCACTATTAGTTGTGAGATCAGTTTGTTGAAATTGAGTTGGAGAAATTTGAAGTGCAAGTTTGTAATAAAATTATTATTCTGAAGGGAATGCTCACATTTTGTTGGAGGTTAGATGGGAATGAATTTGGGTTGTTTATACCATTTAGTTTGCTTATAAGATCCAGCATGATTGTAGTATTTTTTGTTTACTACAATTTAAACTTTTCATCCAAAAACTAATTAGAAATATTCAATTTCAAAATTGGAATATACTGTTCGATAACATTTCATATCAGTGATAATGTTAGCATCAAAATAAGAATAAAGCAGTGCAATTTTGTAATTATCAAAAAGCAAAAAAAAAAGGCTTTAAGGTTTTCAAAAAACAGCACATTTTGATAAATATCAGTGTAATTCGTCAGTGTTTATTCTTATTTTCTGGATACATTTCGGTTCACTGATCACCTCTTTTAATGACATATTTTGTATTAAATATTTAAAATATTTAATTGCCTAATGAGTTTGATTTATTTGTACTTACAGAATAGTCAAACCAACCTCTATTATGCTACAAGATTCATTTAAAACTTTAACTTTACTCAGCATTTTCCTGTCACATATTTCATTTCTATTTTTCTATGTATACTGGCCAGATGGCAGTTTAATTTCAACTGTTTGGTAACTTTTTTTATCATTAAGAGCGTTATTATTATTATTTTTATCATTAAGAGCATCAGGTTTCAAACTGAATACAGTCTTGTCTAATAGTTATTTAAACTAGTTATATTGATCATTCAAAAAATGACTGCCCCGATTTCTACAGATCATATTTTATATAAATGAACAATATTAAAATTTATTGCTCACTTTTTTGTTTAAGTTTTATCAGTTTATCAATCTATCTGCACTTTGGTTTCTTTATGATGTTCTCATTAATTATCGAACTTTTGGACTCTCATCTGGGTATGTGGCCAAAGTCTGCTGCGATTTTCAAATCAAGGAAATTCAGTACAATATTATCGCTATTATTAGCATTATTTTTGACGGGTGCTGGTTTTGCTGCTACTCGTTCGACGCCAGTGGTATTGTGTTTATTAAAAATTGAAATTTCAAAAAATTGCTTCTAAATAGATATTTCTTAAAATTTATGACTATTAACTCCCAAAACTCTTATATATAGTAGAACAAGATTCTATTCAGTTTGAAATTTGAGCATTAATCTCTATAAAAAATTAAAAGAGAATAACGTTTACGGTTGAGCAGTTAGATGCAAGCGATGTTTTCATCTAAGTTATTTTCAGGTAAATCGAGTCAATGTTAAAATAAGAAATTTACCTTCATCATTTGATGGTTTTAGTATAGCCTTGTTAACAGATATTCATGTGGGACCAACTGTGGATCAGAAGAGAGTTTTAAAAATTGTTACGAAAACAAGTGCTTTATATCCGGATGTAGTAGCTATTTCGGGCGACTTAGTCGATGGTTTTCCTTCTAATTTGGCTGAACGAACAAAGCCGCTAGCAAATCTGAAATCAAAATATGGTGTATATTTTGTAACCGGTTTGTTGATCTTCGTTTTTGTATAAAAGAGATTCCAAGATTATAAAGCTTTCTTTTGCTGGGATTAATAGTTATGTGTTAGCAAATGGAAATGATCGTAATAATATTCTATGTTATAATGTTGAAAAATGATTTCAGTATTTCATTGTAAAGTACAATAATTGATTCTTTGTGAAATATTGCTAACTTCAAAAATTTCTTCATTTGTGGTTAATTATAGCTCATCATTTTCTTAAATATTATGAAAGATATTGTTATAGGTAATCATGAATATTACCATGGTGATGTAGACCAGTGGTTGCATTATTTTACTACGAAATTGAATATTACCGTTCTGCGTAACACACATCGTAACCTGTGCTCTATAAGTGGTGACTGCATTTGCATTGCTGGTGTAGATGACTATTATACAGGTATATTTTAATTTATATTTAATTCTTTTATATGTAGCAGAAGTTTATTTTAAAAAAATGAATTTGTTCTCTTTTAAAGAATTTAATTCTAATATCAAATACTTATTTTCAAATTGTTATCTCATTTAGAGCTTATTATTAATACAATATAAGTTCAATGAGGTTTGGTAGTTATGTGTCATTTTCTATAATTCAAAATTTCGTATCTTATTAACATTTTACGCATTTGGGTATTTTTAATTGAATGTCTGAGTTTTTGAATTTTCTGCAGAAAGGCTTCGCATACATAATCATCGCATGGACGCTGAACGTGCATTGGATGGTTGTAGTAATGCACAACCTGTAATTTTGCTCGTTCATCAACCAAATGGTGCTTCGAAAATCGTGCGTAATACTAAAAAACGAATAGATTTAATTTTATCAGGTAAAATAAGTGACTATTTCATTTAAAGTTGTCTCTACCGTCGAAGGCATAAAAATTTAAAATTGCACTTCTCAAGTGAAAGTCGCAAAAATAAAAAAAATATTTTCGGATATACTGGCGACACAATTGAACTTCCAATCTTTGAAATTAAAATGTGCTTCTAAGTCTAGGATTTTCGAAATGTTAATTGCAAAATTATCTCATGTAAACTATAGTTAATTCAGCCAGTCATAAAGATTTGAATTTGAGCAGCTTTTGATTAAAGTTTGAGTTTAAGTTTTTGCATCTTTATAAAGAATAACTTTTACTTATTTTATTTCGGAAGAAAATTTTCATTTGTCTTTTATTGAGGTCAAGTTTTTTCAGGCCACACACATGGTGGACAATTATATATTTTATGGTTATTCGCTTACTTGATGAATGCTTTTATGTATGGACACTATAGAATTAAAGATAGTGGTACACAAATTTACGTGTCTTCTGGAGTGAATTATTGGGGTCCACCTGTAAAAATATTTAATTTATGTGAGATAACTTTACTGACGGTGCATTCATGAATTTATGAACAATGCAAAAATGTTTATTGCTTTTGCTGACTTATACATAAATTTAATATTTTAGAGTGCCATTATTATACATAAATTTAATATGTTAGAGTGAAAACACTTCTCGTATTTTCCATAGTGGCACTCTGATTTGTATTTATGTGTAATAATATAATTTTGCCTCTTGTTCTGTATTAATCAATAGTAACATCAGTTATTCTTCCATCTTAATTTCAGGGAATTGTTTTATGCTATATTTTGTATCAACTTTTTGAGCTTGTGATTTTAGGATTTATTATGACAATTTGTAAATATATCTCCTTACTAATAATTAGTTTTTATTTATAATGTATAAAGTTTTTATGCTTGTCTGGAGAAGAAAAATCTCATGATGTTTAATTGCATTTTGATAAAGCTTATCTCTCTCATTATGAATTGTTTTCGAGAAGTATTTTCCTTATGTTACATAGAACGTTGTTATTACCTTTAGGTAGGCACTGTGAGTTATCATCACAAAGACTGTGGCTGCTTTCGTATTGAATCAAATATGTCAGGTCTAAGGAGAGTAAAAGTTTGAAAGTTCAAATTTTTGAAGCTAAAAAAAGTCGAAAATAATGTTACAGTTTCAGGAAGCTTTTGAAGTTTCTTTCAACGATTCTAGGAAACGAATCATTATACATACTCATAAGTCAATATACTTCGTTACTTTATGGCAGTAACTCCATTTGAAGTTGGTACTAATTTCTTTGCATTAAAATCTCGTTTCGTGTAATAGTTTTGTTACTGTGACTAGGAATTATTCATGCAGTTATTTCTTGCTGAGGCTGGTGCAGCATGCGATCAGTTTATTTTGCATTTGCTATTTCGATAACATGCATAATTTTCTTGAACTTATTTGGTTTTCAAATATTTGGGGTAAGTTTTTCTTAGTGTTAAAACTTTTGTTATCTTTGTGCTTTGTTATCAAGCAATATTTTTTTTGTTATTAAAGAAAATTGGAAATGAAAAAACAGTTTTTTTGTTATTAAAGAAAATTGGAAATGAGTAGTGGTTAGGAATATTTATTACTGTTTAGCTAATGTTTTTGACATGCTTCTCGTTATAATATTACCTTGACCGAATCTTGCTCTTTCCACCATTTTTATTAGCTAAATCAGTTGTTTCTAATTTATCAGTTCATATGAATAAATACCGGAGCAGTTGTCATTGCAATTATTTTTTGTAGGTATACAGCGTTGATGATTATCGGAGGGGAAATCGTGCACGTCAGCTGAGTACAATCAGATATGAGTTTTATTTACTGCCTTTTAGTGTCTTCACATATTTTCGAGTTACTCAATTTGCAAAATTTACATTAACAAGTGGCAGTAATCGATCAAATAAAGATCAAGCGTCAGAGGTAACTTTGAACTAATGAGAATTTGACATATTCAAGTTATGAAGACTTCAAAGTATTCTTTCTTGTGAGTGATATTCATGAATAAATCTGAATGATAAAAAACCAGCTTTTTTTAAATTGTTCCAAAATCGTTAAGGCATTTAACCAATTCGGGGTGGAATGTAATTTTTTTATTGCTCTTAGTGCTACAAATTGCAAGTAAAATGGCAGATAAATCCTTTTTAGTATTTGCAATTGATAACATTTCTTACATTATCATGGTTGATCCTTGTTCATGCGACACTATTTTTATATTATATTCCGGACTCTGTACCTCATTTCCTCGTTATGTTATCTTTCCTCTCAACAGGATTCTGGTATCACTTTGTGTCTTTTTTAGTTGGATTTGCTCTTCTAACAACGATGATTACTCTTATGAGTGTTAGTTTTTTTTTCAGTAATTCTATTTTAAAATTGCTAAATGAATCTTCACTCAAAACAAAAAGTGTAGTATATATACGTTTATTTATGATAACTGAGTTCTTCCAATTTAAGCCGGTTGATCTATTTTTGCATTTTGATTGATAATTATTTGTGAATAGCCACTTTGTATGTTGATGAGTAGTTTAAATTAATAGTTTTAATTCTTATTAAGTCATTTCTTTTTATTTATCTATCTATGTGGAATTGGTGAAATGAAGTATCATTTTTTTAAAAGTATTTTTTCTTTCCAGGTAGTAAGTTGTTTTCATCGATTCATCAACAAGTGTTTCAGCATATTTCCTTCTTTGGGAAAACTTTGTTTAGATAAACATGTGCAGGTTGCTTGTGCTTTAACGATTGCTTTTTTTTTATCCTTCATTTCATATCTTTTATGTGACACCGTTGTTGTCAAGGTTTTTTTTTGTCTTTATACATTTACTGTAGTTTCTTATTACTGTAGTTAGAAAATCATGAATTTATTCACGGTTTCTCCTTCAGATAATTTATTGTTATTAACGGGTGCTTATTGATTTAGTTGTATGACTTGAATTTTAGTAAATTTAAATTATGGTATTTAAATATTTTAGCATCTACCAATTAAAGTAAATGGTTTACCAGCTAATGCGAATGGTATTCAATTTGCACTTATTTCTGATATTCATGCTGGCGCTGCCGTGTGCAGAGAACAAGTTGAAAAAGTATTTTGCATTTTTGATATATCTTTTTTTGAGACTTAATGTATTCAAAATCCAACGCTGGGTATTTATAATCTTATTTCTTCTAGCCTTATCCATAACTTAAAATGAACAATTTTATGATTCAAATGTTCCTAACTCATTTCTAACTGATTTGTTCAATTGTATTTTTAGTTAGTAAAGATGAAGTTTCAGTTGGTTTCATTTGAATTTTGCAGATTGTCGATCGAGTGAATAGTCAGGAGGTGGCTGGTGTATTTATAGTTGGAGATGTTGTAGATGCCCCTAGAGAATCAATAGTAGATCGCGTAAAGCCACTTCGGTAGAGTTTCATACTATTGCGTCTAAGACTAATTATAATGATGCTTTATCATGATTAATTACTTTTTAGAAAGTTTTTACCATGAATTTGTTTTTCTATTTCATTCATTCCTTTTACTCGGTTTCTCCAAAAATTAAAAGCTGGCTTTTTTTTAAATTTGTATAATTCACAGTCTTTATTATTAATTTGCATAATTCACAGTCTTTATTATTCTTATATTAAATATCTTGATATTAATTTACATTTACAATGTAAATGAACTAAATTAATTATCTTATTATGACATTCAAAATTTCTCACTAATTGAATTTGCATTAATGTTGTAGGCACTTTAGAAAATTTTAATAAAGCATTTTTCCCAACTTTTCTTCGCTCTGCAAAGTAATTCAAATATTCTGTACTATTTCGTAATAAACCCACAGCTGAATACAAGGAAATCATTAGAGTTCATCTAATTAAACTGTATTTAACATGCATCTCTATGTTGTACAAAATAAAGCATAATTGTCTGAAACTTCCTAAATATTTTCGAAAAAAAAATTCTCAGAATTTTTCAATTTTTCTTGTCAACAAAGTTTCATAAACTTCGATCTTTCAGGTTTTTGGAGTCGAAAACATTTTATGTTAGTGGAAATCATGAGTACTACTATGGTAATGCTTCTGAGTGGTTCGAATTATTTGAACAGTACGGATTTGAAGTACTGAACAACAGGTTTTTCTTTAAGTATTTTAGTTTTTTTAAATCCAAATAAGCATAGGAAATTGGAGGTGTTGCATCCTTCTTTTCAAAAAATTTCTGCTCCTTTTGATTGAGGCCATGTTTGATATTTGAATTTACACTTCGCAGGAATCAAAAGTTAGCATAAGTATTGAAAGTTAATATGTAAATTGCGAATCGGCATACGGTTTGAAAATGTATTAGATTTGTGCTTTCTTATAGACATGTGAATTTTCATGGCATTTGTGTAGCAGGTGTTAGTGACTTTTCAAGTGGATGGAGTGGGTTAGTTGTTCCTTTCATTTCTAAATGATTTCATTCATTATATATTTAAAAAAAATAGTTTTAGTATTATTATATTTATAAGTTTAAAGTGTTCCAGGTTACCAAATCATAAGTTTGATCCAGTAAAAGCTCTAAGAAATTGCCCTCAAACAAGCCCAACTATTGTTCTCTCACATAATCCAGCTTCGGCTAAGGAAATTGCTTTTAACAAAGCTCATCTACGTGTGGATCTCATTTTGTCAGGTACATATGATGAATGCAGTGTCTTTAATTTGTGCTGTGTTACTGTTTTTGCTACGTGCAGTATATTCATTTCCTTATTATTAACCCGACAAGCGACAAAATGTTGCATGTGTGGTTAATCATATGTATCGTTGATATTTTTTTCATTCAGTCATGCATTCATTACTTTTTCTAGGACATACTCATGCTGGGCAATTCTATACAGTTGCACCAATTGTTTATCTGATGTTGCCATATTATTACGGTTTATATCGTATCTCATCAGAAACTCAGTTATTTGTAACAGCTGGTACACTATATCAGGGAGCACCTATGAAAATGGTTTTTATGTCTGAAATCTGGATAATAAAACTTTATTCTGTTTCATAATTTTTCTCAATTCACGTTAAAAAAAAATGTTTGGTAAGTGTCAATAAAGAATAATAGAGTGTATCTTTTAACGAATGTATATATATATATTTAATGTTTTTTAGAGCATATGATAGCTTTTGCACAGAATTTTTTCTTAAAATTAACATTGTTCTTCCGAAAAGTCATATTTTATTGTATCTACATTCATTCCTGAACAATTACAAAGTGATTAGATCTCCATCCGCTGTCATAGTAATAGTGGATAACTGATCAAAGTGAATTCTGTGTTCGTAATTCATGTATCAAGTTAATCTTGCAAGTTTTCTGATTTTATAACATTTTACATCCACTTGCAAGTATTTTTTATCAATGTCAAAGCTTTTCGTTATTTGATTTGTTACTCAGATTTCAGGCTCTTTCTCAGGTTTCATTTGCTGTATATATTTTAGGAATAATTGCTTTGTTCTTGTAGTCATCAGTCAATTCAAAAAACTTTTGAGAAACCTTTTTGGTGTATTGTCCTTTTGACATTTCCGGAAACATATGTGCATTCTTCCGAAAAGCTTTCATTTTCAGTCGTATTTGATAAATTCGAAGCAGTTTTCATCAAGAAACATAAATATTTCTTCAGCCATGTTTTAAGAGTGTTTGTCAAAAAATTTGTTACTAAATTTTTTTATATTTTGTATGAGATTCTAATTTTGCCACGATCAATTTTTTTTATCTTTGATTTTTTCTATATATTATTCACCAGATCTAAATTACTCTCTTCTTCGCTTTGATCAATAAATTATCTTCTTGTCTTTATTACTAAATATCAAATTAGCTCATATTCAGCTTTCTCTTGATTGCTTTTGACATTGAATTTTCCATTTCATTCATTTAAAACTTGTAGTAAAATTTAGTTATTTTACAGCATATATCAAACAAAAGTTAAGTTTATTGAAGAGATTTTGGAATCTTGCAATGTCATTTTTAGAAGCACGTCGTCGGAAACAAAAAATCAGCTCTGATCCTCAAAACAAGTCTTGGAGAAATGGTAGATAGCTTTTTCGATTTTAAACGTCGTAATCGTTAAATTTTAAAATTTTCATCTTAATTCTATGCCAGATAATGAGAGATTTGGGAAAACAATGTTGGAGAAAATGGGGTGGAAATCTGGTAAGGGACTAGGCAAATATGAACAAGGAATAAGTTCAAGTCTAGAGGTTCAGGCGTGTACTTCAATGAAAGGTAAGGTTTTTGTCGCTAATCGTGCACCTTTGTTTTATTTCTAAGTAAAGTAATTTTATTATGCTTTGCTTCTTAAATATGGAGCATGTTGCTTGATTATTAGTATTAATCTTCCTTTTTTTCACCATACTGACTTAACAGTTTTATACTAAATAAGACTTATACCAAAGATATTGTCATCTTAAGTCGGATGAATTTTAACGTTTTCATCAAAAGGAATCGATCAGAAAGTTTATTGCAATAAAGTACAAATTAATGATCTGAAGCATATACTTTATCATCTTCGTTTTACTTCTTTTCGTAACAGGATTAGGGTATCCTGAGCGAAACAACGATGTTTGGATTGCTCATAATGATGGCTTTGCCACTCTGTTAGCTGATTTAAATAAGAAAAAGGAAGAGGCATCAAAAAATAAAGGCTCAGGAAACAGTTTTCATAAAGGAAAATCAGAAATAATCATGAATAAGTTTGTCACAACATATTTTTAATTTTTGCTTGGGTCATATACAAAGTACGGGGAAGAAAAGCTGCTGAATTTGTTGGATTATTTCCAAAGCAGTTAGTGTTGTTGAAGGACAAATATTAATATAAATTGTTTACAACTTGAAATCATTATTATTAAAGTTTCATGCTCAAATAGTGATCAGCTTCCAAAATCGAACTTTCAGAAATCGAACAATCCTAAATATCAGATTAGTTCTGTATTCGGAAATTTGCCTTAATTTTCATTGTAATTACTTTAGCACGACTTTTAAAATAGCTTGTAAGTTTGATTACCGTGTTAATTCTGATTGTTGGATAGCGATGTATTGTAGGCAAAGGAAGAGTAAACGTGAAGTCATGATATCAGAAAAAGATTTGTGCGCCATATTTGGGAAGAAGTCGAAAACAACAGTTGATAAAGGCATTGAAAACGATGTGAGAAAAAATGAAGTAAAGCTTGAAGTTTGCAAATGTTGCATAGCATATCTTCTTGCTTTAATTCATTGCATTGAAGAACTCAAAGTCGAAACATAAAATTCGTTAATTTCATTTTCTTAGCGCTGAGTATTGAATTGTATATCATTCGCTAGCAGTTAATGCACTTCATCTTTATATCATTTAAAGCCAAATTGTTGATTTTTCAACTTTGTAAATTGAATAATCGTAGTTTACGAGTCTCTTTTTGATTCGTGAAATCATGAGAATTTTTTCGATTAGTTTCTCTTTCAAACTAGTGCTACAATTTCAGATCACAGCAATGGAGCATTCGTCCAAAAACATGACTGTTAGTGAGCTCTCAGTGCATGATTATTTTGCGGAGAAAATGCGCAGGTTACTCGAAAAACGAAAAATATAGTGGTCGGTACATTTATCAATGCAATTTTTGTGTTATTTGTTTATTGGGAGTATTTTGTGGTATATCTTTACCAAAAAAGTTTTAGAATAATTTCGCCTGGAAATATTAGGCGGGAGCAATACTATTTTTAACTGAATTAATTCTAGTCCTCTCTGTAGATAAGTGCTAAAAACGAAGTCTTTTATTGCTCAGTTCTTTGTTATACTGAAAAAAATTCAGTAGAACTTCGTGTTGGGGCGAAATCTGTTTCATGCAACAGAATTATTTTGATACGAAAAAATTAACAAATTGTGGTATTTAACTAAAATGTAAAATAAACCGTTAAAGACAACTTTTATGTTCGTTTGGGCTCTACAAAACTGATATTCTAAGGCACACAACACGTAATGCAACTCTACTCAGGAGGAGGAGGCTAGAAAGAACAAACTTATGAAAACAAGTTAAAAGTAATCAGATTGGTGATCATGAATATCAAAATTATAAGCATTACTTGCTCATTTTGCAAAATGTATCTCGTAATAAATTTCATACATATTCCAGTTGAGTTTATTCACTTCAGTTTGAAGAAAATGTTTCGCATGTGATTAAATAAACTGGTACCAAGCAGAAAAAAGTCTTCTTCTTTACTTTATGAAGTTTTACTATCCAGTTCGCTCAGTAAAGTAAAATTTTTATCAATTCAAGTGCATAGTATTATCAACTGCATAAGTTTCCTGGTAGTGTTTTGAGATCTTTCACATATTTTATCAGCTGACAGCAGTTTAATACGATTTGCAGTCTGAAAATTTGATGAATATTTTGAAGAAAAAGCACATTGAAGTTGGGAACAGTACTTTTTATGCTTATTCTGTTATAATTCCTTAAATTCTAAGCAAATGATGAATGAACTTTGCAACAGCAAAGTAAAAACTCAAGACCTTTCCTCCAAAGAAGGATACTTAAATTTCTTATTGGAGGGAGGCACATTATGAAGTCAAATTGTTGCACTCAAAAAATTAATTTTTTCCATAGGAAAACAGTTTGCATTTTTTGGAATCGCAGTTTTGCCTGCTTTAAAGTTTGAGAGTTTTGTGAAAATTTAGTGTGTAGTAAATTTATTTGGGCTTTCAAAAATTTTAATAAATTAAGAAAAGACATTCACCTTCATTTCGTTCTTTCTTTCAGAATATTTTTCAAATCGAGGGCAGTAATATCATCACTTACATTACTTGTAGCTCTCTTAAATTATTTAGTTCGATTGAAAGAAGGAAATGAAGGTAGACTGTTTAGTCACAACATGATTGTATGGAAGGGTAACGATGACTATGCAAGTATAAAAATCTAAAATATTTTCTGTCTCGGATTTGTATACTTATCAGATCGAAAATGGATTTTAGTTGTATTTTTCGCAAGTTCCAAATTGTTAGCGTTATGTAAAATTTGAAAACTTGCACTTCTTTTTTTAGGTTCTCAAACTTTTCAATTGAAAAACAATGAACTGAAAAAACAGCAAATAAGCGATCAAACACGAAGGGTGTGAACATCTGTATCCAAATTCGATAAATCTCACAGTCATCTACGTGCTTACTTTACTCATAAATCTCAATTCCTTTGAGCATCATTTGTCATCACTTAATTAGTCCGTGGTGAACTACAAACTAAATAAAATAACAATGGCATATGAAACTGTAGAAACAATCAAAAATCGTTCTATCGTCTATAAGGAAGATGAACTAATTATGTACTACACAAAGCCGTAATGCTTAGTTGAATGTTGTTGAAACTTCACTAAACGTTGCAAGTCACCAGCAAGTTGATCAATTTCACGTGGATCTACACGATGGCCGTGGTCTGAACGTGTGACGCTTCTGATGGAGCGTGAAGAGCGCGTCTGCAATATTTTTTCTTTTTTTCTAACATTGGAATAAAATTAATCTATTTTTTCAATCCAGTTTCCCTGTTCACTCAATGCCATTCACATGTTTGAATAGTTTTGAATTTACTCAATTACTTTTAATTTGCAAAAATTTTCTCTTTTTCCTACTTGTAAGTAAAGTATACAAAATATAAAAAGAAACATATCATACTCGTGGAACGGCTGTAAAATCAGAAGCAGGTCGTGCTTTAATTGTAACTTTTATTTGTTGATTTCTTCGTCCCACAAACCATTCGTGTTTCACGGCATCTGTTGCACTCAGACGTGTTTCTGGATCAGTTTCTAATAAGGAATCTACAAAATCCTTTGCTAATTCTGAGCCAGACCAAAACTGAAATGGATTATAGGATCTTAACTTTGACTCTTACTAGTTGCAACAAATCTAAAATTACTGCACAGAAATTCTAAAAAATAACCTTGCAAACAAATCGATTTTTGATGCATTTTAGCATTATTTTTCATGCTATCAATTTTTTATTGCAAGTAAGCTCTTTTTAATGAATAATCATGAATACGACAAAATGTATCAAAAAGTTGCCACTGGAGATATTTAATCATCCTGAAGAGTATTCATCTATCTCGAGAAGAGCTGTGCAGTGAGTATCTTCAGAAATAATTACTTTATATTTTTTGAGAACGGACAAACTGATAAATATGCTTCATTGTTAACTCTAGTCTTTTTTGATGAAACAGCGATTGATAGAAGTGAGAAACAGACTTTTGCTGTTCTTTTTCATTTAAATCCTTCATGTTAAAGCAAAACCTGAGGATAATAAACATAATTAGCTGTGATAATCTGAGTATATAATCGAGATCGGCAATCCTCATCAAATGGCATTATTCCCGACATTAAGATGTATGCTATCACACCAACTGCCCACATGTCAACTTTTTCGTTGTATGGTGAACGTAAAAGCACCTGAAGTTTTTTCCACTCAACAAAGAAAAATGAAGTAATAAAATTAATCAACATCTTGACCAGCTAACATTTCACGCAAAAGTAGTGTAGAGCAAGTTTATATATACTGATAATCCTGATTAATTATGTCACGGAAGTTAAATTCTCAAAAATCTTTAGTAACTGCTGGAATACGTCACTTTTTCAATTTAGAGAGTTAATTTAACGCTTTTTGTGGATTATTTGGAGTATATCAAAAATTACTGTATAAATAGTCATAACTGCTATAAAATAAGCGCACCTCGGGTGCAATATACTCAGGAGTGCCACAAGTTTCGGTCATTTTTTCTTCTGGTGTTTGGGCCTGATAAGCGAGACCAAAATCAGTGATTAAAAGCCTAGCATCAGGTGTCAGATCACTATAAAGCAGGTTTTCGGGTTTTAGATCGCGATGAGTTACTCGGATGCTATGCAAGTAAGCCAAACCATTCAGAAGCATTCGAAGAGCTTGCCGAGCTTCAGATTCTGAATACCTTCCTTTGGCTACTACACGATTATACATCTCACCACCACCTGCCATTTCCATCACGATAAATAACCGTGAAGAAGATTTAAATACCTAAATAATTACTTTCTTTCAACGACATACAGAAGTGAAAAATAATAGATAAAATAGCGTTATTATAGAAACAACAACTATGACTCTTTATGCTAAGATCCTTTTGTGCAATTACTTCATCGCTTTTTCATGACTATCTAAATTTCGACTAAAAGGTGCAAATGCATCTATTGTTGGCGTCAATTTCTTCAGAATCATTTTCGATTCTATCAATTTCACACCAATTTTGTACTACTTTAAAAATGTTCAAAGATTGATATCTTTAGAATATTACTTTCTATTAAAGCAGAACAAGTTTAAAAACTTGTATCTTCCTAATTCTTTCTGAGATTGTTAATCACGAGTGTATCTACTAAAACTCAATATGCAAACAAATGCTATTTCCAGCTTTATAGCAAGTTAAGCGCTATCGTTTTAGATAATATTTAGAGTAAATTTGTGGCAGAATAATGGCCAATTAAAAAAAAAAGTGACAAGTACAAAATTACAAAAATGTAAAAATGTCGCACTTCTTCCAGTTTGATTACAAAAGGATGCTGTAGACGACTTAATATCGCTAATTCATTATTTACAGTTCCGCAATCGGATGCAACTAACTTGACTGCGTAAAATTTATGCGTAAGTCGGTGCTGAACCCGAAGAACCTGAAAATTGCTAACTGAATTCCACGAATAAAATTTTTACCACTTCCATTTAGATTGGTATATTAGCGCAAAATGATCTATGAATACTATAAATTATAAAGGACTAAAAGTTGGGCTTCTTTTGCTGGTTTGTAGGATAATATAACTGAATTCAGATTTGAAGAACATTTTCGCTTGAAAAACTTGAGGAAAAGGCAAAAAATTTGCATAATTTTTGCACTTTGTGTAATTTATCTCACTTGAGAGAAAGATCCTTTGCCAATCACAGCTAATACTTCATACTTGCAAACAAGTCGTGAATCGAGCAACAATGCCGGCCGACCTTTCAGCGGATATTCGGCGGTTTGTTCCGTTCTGCTATTGCAGCTTTGTGCCTGGCTTCCACTCTGAAACTTCCCAATGATTTGCACACAATTTATGGCGAAAAATTCAAGGTACAATCAAAAATTGCAGACTTTTTTCCTTTTCAAACAGGCGAATTTACAAAGCGCGAAGAGTTACTACTCAGTTGTCTCCTTCATTACAAACTCAAATGCAGCACAGCTATTCTGCAAGAATCACTTCTCAGTCTAAAAGGTCTTGCCACGCCTCACAATGGAAACGCAGAGGATAAAGTCTTCTTGCGTTTATTACGCAGAAATGCGTTTATCTTCCGAACTGAGCTTAATGAAAAAAGCACAGTGCTGCTTGTTGTGCAAGTATGCATGAAATGATATTGTTTTATTCTAGTAGAATAAATACATACGTAAAAATATCTTCAATTAGCAAGAAAAAATTCACAAAAACTAATGTGAACTTGGCTTTAATAATATTATAAAAGATGCCGAGCAACATGCAAAGATTTTCGATTGAAATTATAATTTGCAAATCAATATTACAAGTCTTGATCTGATTGCGTCATTTTGCCAAAAATCATTTATTTTTTACAAATTGATCAATTCCAGTCAAAAACACTCTATTTTTCAACGCAGTTTAACTTTACATAATGCACTGAAATATTTTAAGCTGCAATAATAATACATGAAACAAAAAGTAATAAGTTTCAGGTTAGAGAGAAAAATTTTCAGCTATGAATTTTGCATAGATGTCTTTCTGCAGAAACTTCTTCAAACCTATCGAAGTGCAAAAAATAACATGTCTTATTTGTTCAAAAAAGTTGCAGCATGCAGGCAAAGAAGTGGAGATCAGAAGTCATGCTCTTGTCCTTTTCAAAACTGTGTATGGAAAACTGGTATGTGAGTCATGTGTGAATTCAATTTTCGCTATTACTAATTTATGTTTTGAACTCAGTTTAAGTTGGTGAACTGGTTCTGCTTCATTTCTGCAAAACAAAAGTCTAATTAATAGTGTAACGGCAAGGCTACAAAAATAAACAGAGAGAGCGGACCTGATCCATCCTAACCAGTTGACTCATATAATGAAAAGATACTAATTAGATGTGCCCAAAATTGGAATGAAGATTTCAGGAATAACTTGAAAAACTGGTAAGTTGTTGTCGACTATTTCGTAAATAATCAAAGGTAAGCCTGATTAAATAATTTGGTGGGAAATGATTCACACTCAGTTTGTGTTACTGTTTTAAATCAGCTCAGAGCAAACGAGACTTCTGCGCACATTTCTGTCAAAATTAAAAAAGTTCTCATAAATGTACAAAATCGAAATGTTCGCGAAATGACGTCACGTTTATCCTTACAAATTTCATTTTATTATTCCCAACGCTGCTGCTATTTTCACTGATTTCCTTTTCTCACTACTTTAATAGCTATTGATTGATATAGAGTGACCTGTACAGTCGGATTATTCGCACTGCTGAATAACGTCTCACCATTGATGTCAACTGCTTGAAAGTTAAGTTAATCACTGATATTGCATAGTAAATAACATAATTATGATGCATAAAACTGATAATATTTAGATTTTTTACATCTTTCGTCAGCAAAGCAATAAGACTGTTCAGTGTGCTATCAGTCAGAAATAACTGAATTGAGTTGAACTGAAATGATTCAAAAAGCCACAGGTAATGAACAGAAAGGACTAAAGCAATCAGCATTGTTTGCTTGTTACTTTAATCTCTTTCATATTTTTTGCTTCAGTGAACTGTTAAACCTTCGCTTAGTTTTGAATTTAAAATTCAAATAATCTCTCCGATATTCCAAATTAACACTTTGATTTTCACTCATCCGAATCTTTGTAGCACAAAATATTTCCCAAATTTTAGAGAATTAACTGTCAAAATTTAAATTTTGGGTAGCAAAAATATTGATTAATAGTTTTTGTATCTTTTAATTTAATTAAACTCCAAGTAGTGGCTGGCACGTGGATGACTTATTCCAGTAGTTGCCAGAAAAGATATCTGTCCAAAAATTTTTCACCATGTTCTACTTCTGTTGCTGACTAAAATTTGTTTCTAATTTACTCTTAATTCCAATAAAACTTATTCGTTTTTCATTCTTTGCATTTTCTATATTAATATTTTGAGTTTTGAGTAGAAACTTAACGTCATTTGTAATTTGTCCAAAATTAAAAAAAAACACTGGTTGAACTTTTGTTTAGTTTAAAATTTTAAAATTTAAATAATCCCTCCAATATTCCAAATTCACATAAACGAGGTATAATATTTGTCAAACCTTTGAAATACATACAAACACAAGAACTTGCCCTATTTTCTTCCATATTACTCACTGTAGTTTATAATCTGTTAAAATTTTTCAATAACCGAAATGCTCAGTGCAACAAATGATTATTGGACGGTAATTTTCACAACCAAGTTAATACCAATATGATAGCTGTTGGGGTGTGCTGAGATTCCGCGAAAATGAATAACCGGCTATTTCTGTTTCGCTTTTTTCCGATGTATCTAAACTTTCTCAATTTCAGCAGAAATTTTATCAAATTTTCTAATTTTTTAAGCAAAAGAAAATTCGAACAGCCACGGAAACACAACATCTCTACAGCGTTCGACACATAAAGTCAATAAATTATTTGCAATGCAAAATAATTTTGCAATCATAACTGAATTTCGCTCGAGTTAAACTTCGCTACTTTGTCAAATCAAATGCAAATGTAGTTCATTTTTTCATACTATCGGACTAGAAACGAGCATGAAATAATTTAGAACAAATTTAAGAGCAAAATATTCTGTCAAAATAAACAACACACTTTTGTTGATTCGAAAGATAGAAAAAACGCGGAAATTAATTTCTTCATTTTTGATTAATGCTTAAATTCGTTCATTACCATTTGGTTTAGAAAAAGAAAATGAATTTGTGGTGCAAAAGACGGTTAAGAGATTAATTTCCCTTCAAGACTATTAGTATACACTTCCAGAATGCTTTCCCAATTTCGGATGGATTCTTGAAAGCAACCGATGCCAGCCATTGCATTACAAACATTAATCATTGATGTAGTCGAAACGCATTAATTTAAAAATTCTACAAAAATTCAGCACAATTTTATTTTGCAAAAATTAATAAAAATAATTAAAAGAAATAAAAAATGTAAAAAATATTATTCCAATATTATAGTGCGCCAATTTTGAGCACAAATTTAAAGCATGCCAGAATATTATCAAATTATAGAGTACTTTGCTAATGCCGAATAATTTTTGCTTGCATGAAAAGTGATAGCAATTCAATTCAATTCAAGTAACTGCTCGGTAGGAACTCAACTCAGTTTCAAATTATTTTCACTCAGGAAAGAAAAATAATTGCAGGAATTCGTCGCAAATAGAGCCAATTTTCCATAATCACGCTAAAGGAATGAGCAAATTTAAAATAGAAATGCAAAAGTTTCGTTTTAATAATAGCACTCTGTTGACCTAATGGATAGTTAACCTTGACATAAATATTTGCTAGTTATGATTCCCTCCAATAATTTTTTGTGGTTTAACGAAAGAGTCATGCCAGAAATTTTTGCACATCCTGCACTTGATGTGAAACTCTGCAAGAAGTTATCGATGATGATGTACAGGCGGATATTAGCAAGTAGAGTCCTTCACAAGTAATTGTGTATCAGCAAAAAAGTAATTGAAAGAAACTTCTAGACTTTGACAATCTTGAAAAGTTCCAAACTGACCTTTGACCACATTTATTGATCATTTTTGAATTTTTTAAAAATTCAAAAAATTACTTGAGGTGGCTTAAAAAGTGTCATCAGTCAAGTCAAATGTAATTAATGCTTCGGAGATGAAAAAATATGATGCTGTTACACTAGAGAATCTTTGAGAATAAGGCAAGCATATATATCAGAGAAGTTTTGACTGTTAATAATATATTGAGTTCAAATCTACGAACTTATTAATTAATTCAATCCAAACTATAACAGTCACATTCAAGCTTAAATTTCGTAAAAATAAGTCTAGGAGAACTGAACTCTTCTAAACCTAGACTCTACCGCATTTAGTAGGGCTGAAATATCATGAAGTCAAACATTTTTTGCTTATTTCTTTATTTGTGTGTTTTTCTTTGAAACAAGAACACTCGAGACACAAGAAGCAGTCCAGAATGAGCCACAAATGCAGACACACCATTCACAGCATTCTTTTTCCAACAAGTATTAAAACTGCTTCTTACTTACCTACTTGCTTACTTACTCTTTTCAGCTTTTATTGGTGCTGAAAGCACGGAATTTGTGTTTACATTTCTGTTGCAGAATGAATGATACTCAACCGAAAACTTTGCACAAATTTACTTTAGATATTATTTTGATTAGGACGGATGTTAAAGCTGCCAAAATGTTCTGTACAGCAATGAATACTTGTTAATGAATATTCTTAATAGCTAGTTATTTACTGCCATACAGAAATGCATAGATCATTTTCTGAAATGCCAAAACAAGAATGCATTTTGCAATCATCCAAAAACAGTATTTAGAAAATTTTAGAAGTGCAAGGATATTGTAACAAAATGATTTTATTAGATTAAAGTATTAAATTTATTAAACACTATAAAATGGGTCAAAACTCTGAAAATTCATCACTGTCTTAAGCGAAGTGCAGAGGAGGGAAATTAAAGTCCAATATCTACTACACAACTCGCAACAGTGAAAAGGCAATTATGGATAAAAATATAAAACTGAAGTATTTAATATTCGAGGACAAGCATACTATTAATTATTTACATGATCATTTACTTTATTCCATTTTTGTCAATTTCTGAATACTTTTCAGTAGAAAAATTATTTGCACGCTTTTTAAACAATAAAACTGATGATATATGACTTGGTGATAAATTAGCTGAAAAATTTTTAGCATTTGATGTAAAAATGCTAAATTTAATAATTTGCATACAAAAGTCATACGAAAGTCTAGCAAAATATTGAAACATTACGGAAAGCGCAAGTAATATTTTGGCAAATACTTTATAAATTACTGTAAAGTTTACTGAAGATGACTAGGAATTTGATGAGAAATTTGCTGCAGAAAATTAGGTTTTGAAAAGAAAGTAATGAGTAATTAATGAAGAAGGCTCAGTTTTTGGAGAGAAAATAAGAGTGACATGGCTTTTAGCAGCTGAATGAGGTAATGAGTGATTAAGTCGAAATATTTTGCTTGCTAGAAGTATTCAGTAACCTCTGATTTCTATCGACGTTAGAAATTAGAAATAGTTGAATTTTAAGGGCAAGTGCATCACAGTCATATAGTTTTCAAAGAGATGAGAAAGTGTGCGAATCATCTCAATTCTGTGTGCAAATTTCAGCACTAATCGTATGCTTTAGTAATGCTACAAGTACGAATCTTACACCAAAATTGCATCTCTGCAAGTTTCATCGCAGTTACAACAATGTCTGAATTCATTTAGCTAAAATGCCAGTTTCATTTTTGCAAGCAAAGTGTATGGAGAAGTTTTTCTCCTTATTGGAGTCACAGAAACGTAACAAACAGCAACAGTCTTGAAAGTATCACTCGACAAACAAGTGAGCAAAGAGCTAGCAAATATTATGCAAACAAAAAAGCAAAAAAAGTCTGGAAAAATTGAGCAGCGAGAAAAGTATATGGCAGCACAACTATAAAAATGAAAATAAATAAAATTAAGCAACGGAAACGCAAAATAAAAAATTACACAACGAAGAAAATATGCATGCAATACACAATAACAAAGTTTGAACATATAAGTTTTTAAGTATATTTATAACAAATATTATTGATAAATAATTATTAGCCATCCATATGCAAATACTACTAAATTCATTGTAGACAAATATTGCTCTTGTTGACTTGTCTTAAAATAGTTCTAGCAAATGAAACCTCCAAAAACCAAAATGGTGAAGGAAAAATCGAGAGAACTAAAAGATAGGGCAAAAATCCATGTAGGCGTGCTATGCACGATATGCAAATTGATTGTCTTGAAATTATTTAAGTTGAAATATTTCTAAAAAAGTTGTGTCCAAAGCTAGCATAAAATTTCAACAAATTAA